TTACTATCATTCTTGGTCTTTTATCTGGTTCCATAGAGAAAGTTTATTAGATTATCAAAAAATAGATTAAAAGACCTTAAGCCCATCAATTTCCCCCTTTTTGATGATGATAAACTTTGAACATTGATGACTATTTGACTTAACCAGATAAGGTATCCGCAACTGCATATGTTCCCCCTGACTTTATTCTTCCCCCTTTTGGCATCAACAAAAAGACACAATCAGACAAAAAGGCATAAAGAAGTCCAACAAGGCTAACTCATGCCATATATGTGCACACAATCATGATAGAAAAGAGAAGCAAAAGGGAAAACCAGCATTGTACAAGCAAAGAAGAGTTGTTTCATTTAGAAGAAATTAGACTGTTTCAACAGGAGAAGCAATGGTGAAATCCAACATTCCATCACAAAAAGACAAACAAAAAGAGAAACAACAGCCACAAAATCATCAGAGCAAAAGATAACTGGCCACCAAGAGGATCCTAGGGGGTACTAGAAGAGGGAGGCTTGGAAGAGGAGGCTGTAATGGTTTTGAGAACCAGGTCCATGCGGGCATTTGCAGACAGCTGTTAGTCAAGTAGTTTTTCCTGTAGGTTCTCCACTTGTCGCATACCTGCCATCTCCAAGATTGCCGGGTCAAACGTGCGTCCCCACAAGACTTTTTGAGTGCTCAGACTCTCTTGCCCAAGACCACTGTCACTTGGAATGGTCTTCATTGAACCAGGTCCTCCCATAGTTTCCCACTTTTGTTTTCTAGACATTTCAACAACCTTCCCGTTCCTGCTTGCCACATCCACAATGTCACTTTCAAACAAATCTTTCTCAACCACAAACTTTTGTAGATCTTTTCATTTAGGAACTAGGTTCCTCCACAGCATCTTTATCAACCTCAAACACTGGAATGTGTTTGTCAGCCACAACTTCCCCCTATTTCATCAACCTCTTCTTCTTTTTCTTAATACTCTACTTACTCTTCTGCAAGGCAGACTCAAAAGCCTCTTTCTTCTGCAACCGCCTGGTTTGTTTCAGCTGAAAGAGAATCAGGTTCTTCAACAGGTTTTTCTGTGACGGTGTCATGAACCAGAGACTCAAAAAGCACCAGAGTCCTTTTATCCCCTAAGAATGGAGTTTCTTCCCCCTGAGATTCAGGAACAGAGGAGAAGTAGGGTTTGCAACACATGGAAGTGAGACTGGAGATGAAGAGGAAACCGGTATGGGTACAGTAGTATCAGGTATATTGAAGAAGTGGGTTTCTAGTGATGGTGTTAAGGGAGGAGGAGATGTGGGAGTGATGTTGATGGCAATAGAAAAAGTCGATTATTCGTTGGCCATGGTGAGAGAGGTGGTAAAAGGTGCAAAGAGAGACAATGGTTGAGAACTGCTGGTCTGAAAAGTCGGATGATGTGGCAGTTGAATTATTTTGCTATCTTTTTCTTTGAACAAGCATGCGAAAAACACATTACTATTAACCTGTGGTGCAGGAACCAGGTTCCTGACCTGTTTTTGAGAAAGGGTTTTTGCAGCTCTCCTCCGAAGTTCAACACTGTACCTTTTGCTTCTATAATTATGTGTTTACCTGCAATGATATAGATGTGAGTTAGACCTAGTCAGAAAACACTTTAGCCAATTTTACCTTAGTGTGACTATCATAGTCATGTCAGCAGAACCAGGTTCTCAATTTGGTTTAAGTGATCCCAATGCCATCTTGTTTCTGAATGTGTTCCATGCTCAGATCTTTGTGAATATATCTGCAATCTGATCTTTCGTGCAACAAAAACTTATACAAATAAGACCCTTTTCCACATAGTCGCTTGATCCACAGTGAATGAGCACATCAATTGGCAGCCGCAACATATTCTGCTTCAGTTGTTGAGAAAGCTACTGAGTTTTGTTTCCTTATACCCATGAGATAAAGCATGATCTAAGGAAATGAGCCATTTCAGATGTGCTTTTCCTGTCCACCAGATAACCTGCATAATCAGCGTTAGCATAACCAATAAGGTTGAAAATCATCCCCTGAAGGATAGTACAGAACCAGGTTCTATGTGCCCAAATATCTCAGAATTATCTTAGCAGCCTTCAGATGAGATTCCTTAGGATTTGATTGGAACCTTGCATGTAATCCCACACTGAATACAATGTCTGGCCTGCTGGCAGTAAGGTAGAGTAGAGATCCAATGATTCTCATGCTTTCATATCAATCCTTTTCAAGAGTTTGCATTTCTAACTGATACACATTCCGTTTATGGACTGCTTCACTTGAAGACCCAAGAAGACATTCAGTTCCCTCATCGTACTCATCTCAAACTCACTTCCCCTGAGTTTAGCAAATTCTTCACATAATGAGTTAGTTGTAGCTCAAAACATGATGTCATCCACATAAATCTGATCAATGAGCAGGTTCTTTCCCTGTTTCTTTAAAGACAATGTATGGTCAATCTTTCCTCTTGTGAAGACATTTTCCAAGAGAAACTTGGATAGTCTCTCCTGCCAGGTTCTAGGGGCCTTCTCCAATACGTACAGTGCCTTATCCAATTTGAATACATGTTTAGGATATACATGACGTTCAAAAACCTGGAGGTAGCTTGATATGGACTTCTTCCTTGAGAAAATCATTTAGGAAGGCACTCTTCACATCCATTTAGAATAAGGTGAATTCCATATATGAAGCAAAGGCAATGTGGATCCTAATAGCTTCCATGCGAGCTACTGGGCCAAAAGTCTCATCATAATTGATCCCTTCCTCCTGATTGAATCCTTGGACAGCAAGCCTTGCTTTGTTCCTTGTAGCATTTCCATGTTCATCCAGCTCATTCCTGAATACCCACCTGGTCCCTAATGATGGTTCTGTCTGAGGGTCTAGGTACCAGGTGCCACACCTTGTTTCTTTTAAATTGATGCAGTTCCTCTTGCATTTCAGTAATCCAGTCTGCATCCTACAAGGCTTCCTTGATATTTTTTGGGTTCTATTTGGGATAGAAATGTTGTCTCCTTCATCTTACTCATCAAATCAGCCTTCCCATTTGAAACTCCAGATATTTCCCAGGGACCAAAAGTGGTTCATTATCTTAATCATCACAGTTTCCTCCCTTTTAGAGGAGGATGTCTCGTTGAATAGCACATGAACACTTCCTTCCACATAGTGTGCTATTTTGTTGTAGACTTTGTGGGCTTTGCTTTGAGGGGAGTATCCCAGAAAGATTTCTTCATCGCCTTTTGCATCAAACTTCCCAAGCTGGTCCTTCCCGTTGTTGAGAACATAGCATTTTCATCCAAAGGTTCTCAGATGAGTTATCTTTGGTTTTCTTCCATTGAGCAACTCATAGGGGGTTTTGTTCAGGAGAGGCCTGATCATGCACCTCTTTTCACTCTTGCTCAGTATTCCCATAGGAATTGCATGCTCCGTGTTCTTTGAGCTTTGGATTTTACAGACCATGGACATGGTCCTTCTTCATCAATATATCTAGAAGTGAGAAACTTGTATCCCCCCAATCCTTTATGCCATGTCTTCGAATCATTATCAGCTGCATTCAAGCAGCTCATATCACCAGCTTAGACCCGAACTTCTACCTTGGTTTCTTCCCCATACCTAGAATGTACCCCTTCTTTCCATTTTCCAAAGGGTACATCCCTTCCTTGCAGGGCTTTCAGTGAGAGAAAATCCATGGTATTTCCAGTCATGTGCTTTGAGCATCTACTGTCCATGATCTATTGCAGTCCGCTTCCTCCCACTGTTCCCTGCACATCTAAATTATGGGTTAGATTTAGGAACCCAAACTAGTTTGGGTCCCTTGTTATGATAGAAGGGATGGATAAGGGCTTTTCTAGTCCATGCAGTCAGCGTTGGTTTCTTGCGAGCGGTACCTGGTCCCCAATTAGTAGTCACTTTGTCAGAAAACACTTTGTTTTTCTGAACAGACTGAGCCCTAGCCTGGCAATTTTCTTTGAAGTGCCCATTGTTCTCACAGTGGGTACACAGCCAGTTATCAGGAACTGTGACGTACTTGTTGTGAGGGTTGTAAGGAGTTTTCTCCTTTTGGAACCCGATTCCCTGCCTGTTTCCACTATTATTGAAGTACATGGCAGTGACAGCATCTGAGGACCAGGTCCACTTGAGAGATTTCTCAAGATCACTTTTTACTCTCTTCAATTCAGCTTGAAGCTGCCTATTTTTCTCGAGTTCACCACATATCCTAGTTCTAGCAGCTTTCAACTCATTTTCAAGCCTAATGTGTTCCTCACTAGCTCTCTCCTTTCCATTTCCAGAATTTTCAGGTTTTGACCTAATCTCAGGTTTCACTATTGATTTTCTTAGGTTTGTAATTTCCGCCAAAAGATCATTCTTTTCTTTTCTGAAAGTTTCAATGGTTCTCTTATGGTCAATAACTACAGCTACTAACACTACTAGAAAATGGTTGTTTTGCGACTGCCAAAACGGTCGCAATGTGGTCAGAAAATGCTAATTTCCGACTACATTCCGACCGAAATATCGTAGTCGCAAAATAGCTGGTCTGAAAAGGTTAGCGACCGAATCGGTCCGTAATTTGCGACTACAGCGGTCGCAAAGTCAAAAAAGAAAACGACCAATAAATGTTGCCAACTATGCGACTGACGCCGTCGCAAATAATTTAAATTAAATTTAAATTTTATATTAATTTTCCCACCGTAGTGGTCGCAAATAATACAAAGTATTTTTATTTTATTTGAATTTTCTCACTACTGTGGTCGCAAAACCAATTTAATATTATTTATTTATTTATTTATATTTCCCACTACCGCGGTCGCAAATCCAATTTAATATTTTTTATATATATAATTTTCCCACTACAACAGTCCCAAAAGTGGGAACTTTTTGATAAATTCCTGCTGTTTTAAAGCACTACCACCTGCCAATTTTGAATATTGAGGAACTAAACAATTAATCTAGCATGCCAACCAACCAATCCACCATTCCAACCAATCAAATCCATAGAATGCAAATAATTATACAAAACATAAATATTTATAACTAAAACATCCAAACACAAGTTAAACATTGAAGCACCATTCAACCTAGTCTAAAACATTACAATCATAGTCAAGTTTAAACATTACTAAGTCTAATCATCCAACCACAACAAAAAATAATGTCTCAAACATCACAACCACAACAAACTAAAACTCATCATCGCTGTCATCCTAACCATTCGGATCAAATGGACGCTTTCTTATAAATTTCTCCACTAGACTCTGCAATTTGTTAAAATTTGCGCGATCTTCTTTCCGTTCCTCCTTCAACTCTTCAACTTCTTTTCGTAATGCTTCCACCTCTTCGTGATTTTGCGAATAACTCGCATCACCAGCCAACAATATCGTAGAACGACCTACGGAATGTTGTGATCCAAGACCGCAAGTTCTACCTTTCTTTGCGCCACCAACCACCTGCGCCCATGTTGAAGCTACATCATTGAGTGACACTTGGGTTGAGCTACCATCCTTGGTATCGGGTTGACTTTGACGCCATTCCTCAAAACGTTTTTGATAGGCTTCCTGGAATTAAAATGTTAAGCATCAAATTATGTTATACTGATAGTATGAAGCATCAATGTTAACTAACAGAAAGAAAAGCTGAATATGTCTGATTAAATATAAACAGGATCTAGAGTAGCACATATTATTATGTTTCAGAATAATAACAGAATTGAAGATATCTTCTTTCCAATACCAAACCACTCGCTATAAGATCTACTAATTATGCTAAAATTTACATGGCTTAAGCAGTAAATATGAAATGGTTCTCAATCACGAAAGAAGGAAGCATTATTTGAGGTTAAAAAGGTTCTCCTATACGCATGATTCAGCTACTCAATGAAACAAATCCTTGGTCAACATAATATATAGTACACTTTAGCAGTAAGGATATTAATCTGTGATATAATGTTTTGAGACAAAAAGTTGATGGTCTTAGCTTAATAACTATCTTTGAGGCAAATCTTTAAGTTCTATTTCTGTATTCAACCTTGTGCGACAAAATTTAAGAGCAGAGCTGGAGTTGATAGTCTGCCACATCCGATGTATAATAAAACAGATTCTTTATATGTCACAATATCACAATTTGGCAGGATTGCATTTTAAGGATTCCCCTTTTTTTTTAAAACAGGTACATGTTGAGGATTCTTCAAGCGCTCCACAAGATTATGCAAAGTCTCCATGCACGTCTTTACTTTCTCCTCCAAATCCCGCAATGGTTATTTTCGAACATTTATTTAAGTTTTGTGAATCCATATAACAAGCTCCAAATATTTCCAGTTCATACAAAAGCCACTATCAGACAGTTGCCATGCATAAGGAATATCACAAAGGCATAGTAGATTAACAGAAGACATAGTAGAAAATATTTTACCAGACATAATAGAGTTGCACATGTCAACAAAGAGAAAAATTCATTAGTTAAACAACTAAAGGAGGTAAAGAAAACCTAAAATAATTGAAAAGAGAAGAAGATATCAGACAATAAAGCTCCTCACGAATGCACCCTTCCAACATGATCTCATGAAAATGTAAAGTTCATACAGGAAACTGAAAGTCCTAAGGAAAAGGAAAAAGCTAAAGAAAGAGCATAACCTGATACATGAGACCAGACTTGCTAGTGTAGCATAGAGAGCGCAAGATTGAGAATAACAGTCACGGGGAAGGAGAAACAGCAGTTCTTCACACATTGAAGGGGCCTAACATTTCTACAAATCCACTTAAACGGGTGAAGGAGAGATTATCATTTAATGATATGCACTTAGAAATTTCGCTGCTAGTTTACCTAAAGGCTGGAGAAACAAAATATTAAAGTGAAGACGAAGGGAAAAGCTTACTGTCCAGCACTGCTTCTAACTTCAAAATCAGCCAACCTCCATTCGCCCTCCAAACTCACACTTCTATTCCAATAAATTTGATTTTATTTTTCAGTTTTCCGTAATTCGATTTTGAGTAGCAATGGAAATCAACCTTTTAATTAAGTCAAGATTAACCATCATTGCAGCAAGAGTCGAAGAACTGGCCATAATAGAAGGACATGCAACCAAAAGAAGATAGTTCTTTGAAATTCCTTATCTAATTTTCAAGTACACAAGGATCAGAGTAATAACAACTAATTAATGGACTGCATCCCCAACAGAAAGAGTTCTAATTTTCTTAATCACAAAATACCAGTAGTAGGAAACATCCTTTCTGATGTTAGCAGGTACAAGGATCATAGCGACAACATATAGAATCTTGATGTGTTTCCTTATGAATGAGATCATAGTTGTCTTAGGTCTTTCAAGAATTATATGTTATGAATGTAGGAAGTTAATGACCGCGCGATAGATTTTCTGGTTTAGCTTTGATGAATAATTTTAAAACCGAAGACTTTGGACAATACTATTTACTATATTGGTTCGACAATCCATAAAGTCAGTTCTAAGAAACTAGAGAATCTTGTAGTTAGGATCTTACATATGTCCTCGAAGCACGCGGCTCGACCCATTCTCTTGTACCGTCCTTTTTCTTTTTCATATGTTTGTCCTCAAAGACCTCAGCATAAGTCACAAGTCTTCCTTTTTCCTTTTCCTGCAAAAAGAATTAAATTAGATAAAGTTCAATCGCATATCGTCAAAATCAAAGCAAATATAATAAGAAAGTTACCATTCTCCTTCGATGGGTCTCCATACTAACTGAACCCCCAGTGTGCAATGAGCCACCCGTATTGGAGGCTCGGGCAGCCTTTGGAGCATTGCTTCTCTTCTTAAATTCTTTAGAAGCCCATGTCACATTAAGTCTATCCCATATATCTTTTAGCATCCAACCGGGCTTCTCGCCACGTTGCCAAGCTTTATATAAGAGATTTTTCAGCCTATCAGCACCTTTTTTCTCAAAATTATGACTTATTTGCTAATGATATTTTGGAATCCATGCACACCTTGTCTACAAATAATTTAAAACATTAGATGAAATAAGGGTAATTTGATAAATAATATATAATTTATTTATTTTTTACCCTAAATTGATTCCACATCTGCTCTCTGTAAAAATACGGTATATCTGAGCATTTACTCCAAGCATCTCGGTAAAATGCTTTAACACAATCCACAACCACCTTCGTAGATTCATTGGAGGGAACAAACCTGCATTAAAATTAGCATATGTTTAAAATATATTCAACAATTTAAACGAATGATAAAGTAATTGCTTACCTAGTAGTCCCATCAGGAATGATAATCAGTCTGTGAAGAGAATCATATGATACAATCTCTTCAATAGTCTGAGTCTGTGTATCATCAGGAGCATGTGTAGATGTATCAATGGATGGGGATGACGGTATTGTAGAGCCTCCAACATGCGGCGTAGAAACGCTAGGAGTGGATGATGATGGAGATGAAGATGGAGCCATAGATGCAGGACCACCATTCTGACTAACATGGTAGCTTTGGGATGGAGCGAATGATGACGGAGGCATAGATAAGGAGCCACCATGCTGACTAGTACGATAAGCTGTCGAAGAAGATGGTATAGTAGGCATGCTCTGGGAAATAGAGATAGGCTTATATTGAACTGGATCACAAGGGGGCAAAGTGAAAAAGCCGGGTGGCAGTGAAGTCTGCTGAGGAGGCTGATAAGGAGGAGGGGGAGGAGGAGGAGGAGGAGGAAGAGGATGACTCATAAATGGCACAGACGAGCTAGTGGGACCTGAAGCATGCTGAGGAAGCTGGGAAGCGTGTCTTATCTTCTTTTTTTTACTTGGTGCCATCTGTGTAACATAAGTATACTAAAAACATTAGATGAAATGTGTTAAGACATAAAAAAATGTAAAGAAATTCTTCAACTTAATAAATGAATAAAGAAAACACATAAAAACCAACATGTCAATCCTCTTCGCTTGATTGATATTCATTTTTTAATTCTTCTTCATTGCTTGTTTCATTTTCATCCAGTAATTCTTCCTCATCGCTTGTTTCATTTTCATCAAATGATTCTTCGTCGCTTGTTTCATGTTCATCAGCAGGATCTTCCTCCCTGTTTGCCCGGGATGTTCCTTCCCCAAAATCATGTTGATTTGATCTACGAGTAAGGACCGAAGGATCATATTCTTCATATATGCATTTACTATGCTGCAATTCACCCACTAATTCATCATCAACCCTTTATTTTTCAATTCTTAAATAGAAAGTGTGCATTTCCTCCGTTCGAATCTCGAGGTCTGCTATCACGCCAAAACCTCTGGAACAAAGGAGTGTATGTATAATATTTACTTTTCTTTATAGGTGTTAAAAAATATAGCTATAGAAACGAATAACTTCCGGATCTATCAAGCTCTTGAAACCTATTTTGTTATTTGAGCAGTAAAAAGAGACTAAGCTAACCACACTCTGGTTGAACTCTCTAATAGACTCTGCTGATATAGTATCACCCAAATTTTCATTATCAAAGGGAGAATAAATTTTGAGTAGTGATTGGTCTAGAAATAGTTATTAAAAGAGGTTTTCCATGCTGGACAAGGGCTGCATTTGACATTCTTCCCTGTATAGCAGTGCTAGTTTGAGGAGTGTCATGTATAACATGTTCTGGAGTCCTAACAATAGGAGCTGCAGTGTTCCCTCTGCTAGCATCATTTTTCTCCTTTTCCACCTTCTCGGACACCTGAACCTGTTCATGTACCTTATTCTTTCCTTTATCATCAGGACCAATTCGCACATTGGTTTGAGCGTTGCCTACCATTGCAAGTTGACCTTATTATTACCCTTAAGACATTCCTTTCCTGGCTGGACCCTTTTTTGGTATGTACATCTACCTGAGTTTGATTCGCTTAAGGTTCAACTTTGCATTCATGATAAAGGAATAAACATTTTTGGCAGAATAGTGGTTTCCAGTCATAGCTCACATACTAAGTGAAAGTTCTACTAGATCAACAACCTCAATTTTATTAGGTCATTCCTTAATTACATCCCTTTGTATAGAGACCAAGCATAGGACGCCCTATTTTGCTTTTCAGTACATTCATCCGCAAATATATATAGGTCTTCCCAATCGGCTAGCAATCTTATTGAGAATGATTGCATTGCAACAACTTAGGGGGAGATTAGGAAATTTCACCCACAATGGCATGGTACGTGGGAATTCCTCTTGAAAATAAAAATTAGGAGTCCATTCCTTCAGGATTATAGGTATTAAATCTTCAAGGATAAACATTGCGATAATGCTAAACCCACAAAATATCTAGGTAGTAAAAAGAGAGACAGAGGCAAAAACTAACCAAAAAGAGGAGTGGAAGAGAAATTGGAGCAAAATTGGTCTTCAAGAGTAGAATAATAGGCTTGAAATTTCTGCCGTTAGCCGAAAATTGCCGTCCGCCGCTTGCCTCCGTCAGCCGCACAGGTGGAGTTGAAGAGAAATCAAAGAATCAATCAACAACACTGGTGGAATGCAGAGAAATCGCAGAAGAAATTAAATATTGATATATATATATATATATATATATATATATAGAGAGAGAGAGAGAGAGGAAATTTGGGAAATACGGGTGAAATTGGGGAAATAGGGTTCGACTCTATATACCTTTACGACTACCACAGTTACAAACGCACTAAAATATTAATTCTTTTTATCTTTTTAGTTTTTATTTTGCGACTGATATAGTCGCCTAATTGGTCAACTATTATTGACTTTTTATATTCCAACTGAATTAGTCGCAAAGCTAAAAGCGGGAGATTTCTCGCGCTGTTTTCCCACTAATTTTGTCACAATACTAGTCGAATTTCCTTTTTTTTTAAAAGCAATAAAAATGCAATCTTTTTCCCACTACTGTAGTCGCAAAAGTAGTTGCATTAGCGACTACTTCAATCTCAGTCACAAATTTCGGTCGCAAATTAGTGTTTTTCTAGTAGTGTAAGTCGTCTTTAGTTTGTTCATATTCTGCTAATTCTAAGGTCAAAGAATCCCTATCCTCCACAAAACTATGAAAGACATTGATTAATACGTTAGCTAAACACATGAGTTTTCTTGGAGAATAGGATTTCAGATTTCTCTGAACATCCCTGAAATTTACTTCTTTGTTGTCTTCTTCTTCATCATCATCTGGTTGTGCCATCAACGCAAAGGTTGAGTCATATTCAGCCGGTCTTTTTCTCTTGAAGTTCTTGGAGAATTCTTGCTTCAAGAGAGGACAATTTTTCATGAAGTGTCCAGCCTTTCCGCACTTGTAACAAAGATCATTGTTCTTTGATCTGTTAGAGCTGTCCCTTTCTAGCACTTCTCCATCTCTTCTGACCATCTTCTGAAATCTTTTGGTTAAGTAAGCCATGTAAAGAACAAGTATCCTTTGCCACACATTGATGACCTATTTGATCAGCTACAGGGTGCCAGAGTGTTCTCCAAGATTGATTTGTAGTCAGGTTATCATCAACTAAAGATTCGGGATCTAGATATTCTGAAGATTGCCTTTAGGACTCGGTATGGTCACTACGAGTTCCTCGTGATGTCATTTGGGATGACCAATGCCCCAACAATATTTATGCACCTAATGAACAGTGTATTCCAGTCTTATCTTGATTCATTCATTTGTGTTCATTGACGATATCTTGGTGTACTCCCGCAGTCGGGAAGATCATGAGCAACATTTGAGGATCGTGCTCCAGACCTTAAGAGAGAAGAAGTTATATGCAAAGTTCTCAAAGTGTGAATTCTAGCTTGATTTAGTGGCATTTTTGGGTCATATTGTGTCGAGTGAGGGGATCAAGATAGATTCGAAGAAGATTAAGGCGATGCAGATTTGGCCTAGATCGTCTTCAGCTACTGAGATGCGGAGTTTTCTTGGTTTGGCCGGGTATTATTGTCGTTTCATAGAGGGCTTCTCATCTATTACTACACCTATCACCAGATTAACCTAGAAGGGTGCTCCTTTCAGATGGACCGAAGGGTGTGAGGTGAGATTTCAAAAGCCCAAGACTGCTTTGACTACATCCCTAGTGTTGGTGTTGCCTACGGGTTCGAGGTCTTATACTGTATATTGTGATGCGTCACGTGTTGGCCTTGGCGCGGTATTGATGCAAGACGGTAGGGTGATTGTGTTAGAGACTGCGTCCACCAGACTGTATAGAGAACCGGGTACTCTATATATTTCCTCTGAAAGTACTGATGAACCAAACTGTATAGGGATCTGGTCCTTTATCAGTTTGGTACGGTGTTAAGTTTGTGTGAGTCCACCAAATAGCAGATTACCTAGTCCTTTATCGGGTTCTGCAGTGAATGCTAGTAAAGCTGAAAGTAAATAAGGCCTTGGATTTTTACGTGGAAAAATCCCACACAAGGGGATCAAAAAACCACGACCTACACCTGTAGGCTTTTAACTTCACTAACTTGCAATCTCCCTATTACAAGCCACTTTACAATAACTCTATTCCAAAGACTTCAACTAACTTGTGATGCTCTCATCACAAGCCACTCTATAACTATCCTAGTTACAAAGAATTTGACTAACTTGTGGTATTTCCACCATAAGCCACTTTGTCACACTACGGTTACAAAGGCTTTGACTAACTTGTGATGTTTCCACCACAAGCCACTTTGTCACACTACGGTTACAAAGGATTTTTCTTATGACTCAACCTAATCAATGATTCTAAGAAAGCTGGATAGGAGTTACAATGAAGAATAAATTACAAAGACTCTACAAACCTAAGGACTTAAAATATCTTCGATCTTGGATCAGGTCCTTGAGGTTGCAACAGCTTTGTTCTTGAGAGAGGTTCTTGAACACTTGAGAGAATATTTTACATTTCTAAGTTTGCAAGCGTTGAACCTGAATCTTGTACCTTGCATAAGGCTTATACTACACAAGACATCCTTAGTGATGTCCAATCTCAATGGTGATGTCATATCTAAATGGAAAGTGGCTGTTGCACTGTCTTTTGCACTGTCTGCTACACTGTTGCAGGCAGTCACTTTCTGCAATTGCTTTCCAGCTGTAGTTGACTTGTACTTCTGTCAGAGAACCCTAAGGGACCAGGTCCCTGTTGTGTTCCTCTTTGTACAGTTGCGATCAGTCACTAAGTTGCGTTCCAGCTGTATAGTTGACTTGGACTTCTATCAGAGAAGTACCAAGGGATCAGGTTCCTGATCTGGTTCTTGTGCACACTGCCCAGATTGTCTTGAGTTGAGTAACTTGAATGATGCTTTGAATAGACTCATTGTAGGTACACCTTGAGAATGATCACTTGAAGTTATGTAAGCACTTGAGTTGGTCAGAGAATGAGTGGGCGCTGGAAACAATGCAGTGCGGCATAATCTTCGTTTCCAACTATGTCCAATTGACTTTGTACTGCCGTGAGGAACCCACAAGAGTATCAGGTCCTTGTCTGGGTTCCTACCTCCTGAAACTATAGCAAGTTCACATTTGGCTGGAATCCATTAGATGAAGTGTAATCCAAGTGAGTCAGGTTCCCTATCTGGTTCTTGACATTAAGTTTGTTAGATCATCAAAACACAAGGCAAAGATATTGAAATCCTATCAATCCTATCAGATTGCCTACGAATCTCGATAGTTGAAGACCCATGAGAAGAATTATCCGGTCTACAGTTTAGAGTTGGCAGCCATTATTCATGCATTGATGATCTGGCGGCATTATTTGTATGGTGTTCCTTGTGAGGTCTTTACCGACCACCGGAGTCTACATCATCGGTTCAAAGAGAAAGATCTAAACTTGCGGCAGCGGAGGTGGTTAGAATTGCTTAAAGACTATGATATCATCATTCTGTATCACCCCGGGAAGGCCAATGTGGTGGCTGATGCCTTGAGTCAAAAGGCGGAGAGTTTGGGTAGCTTAGCATATCTACTAGTAGAAGAGAGGCCATTAGCATTGGAGGTTCAGGCCTTAGCCAACCAATTTGTTAGATTGGATGCTTTGGAGCCCAGCCGAGTTCTTGCCTGCATGGTTTCTCGTTCTTCTCTATATGACCGTATCATAGAGCGTCAATATGATGACCCCCATCTGCTTGTCCTCAAGGACACGGTTCAGCATGGCGATGGCAATGAGTTTACTCTTGGGGATGACAGTGTGTTACAGAGTAGGGCCGATTATGTGTGCCCAATGTGGATGGTTTGCATGAGTTGATTCTTTAGGAGGCCCACAGTTCACGGTACTCCATTCATCCGGGTGGCGCTAAGATGTATCAGGACTTGAGACAACACTATTGGTGGAGGAGGATGAAGAAGGACATAGTAGAGTATGTGGCTTGGTGCCTAAATTGTCAGCAGATGAATTATGAGCATCAACGACCGGGTGGGTTGCTTCGGCGACTTGAGATTCCTTAGTGGAAATGGGAGCATGTCACCATGGACTTTGTTGCTGGGCTTCCATGGACACAGAGAAAGTTCGATGCAGTATGGGTAATTGTGGACAGGTTGACCAAGTCGGCCCATTTCATTCCGATAGTGACTACCTATTCATCAGAGCAGTTGGCTCCGGTTTATATCCACGAGATTGTCCGACTTCAGGGCGTACTGGTATCCATCAACTCTAACTAGGGTACAGAGTTCACATCGCATTTCTGGAAGGCTATATAGCATAAGCTAGGCACACAGGTTGAGTTGAGTACATCATTTTACCCTCAAACAGATGGACAATCCGAGTGCACTATTCAAATATTGGAGGATATGCTTCGCGCCTGTGTTATAGATTTTGGGGGTGCTTGTTCTTGCCACTTGCCAGTCGAGTATTCAGATGACTTCGTATGAGGCTCTATATAGCAGACAGTGTCATTCTCCAGTTGGGTGGTTTGAGCCGATAGAGGCTAAGTTATTAGGCACGGACCTAGTTCGAGATGCTTTAGAGAAGGTCAAGATGATCCAGGATCGGCTTCGTACAGCCCAATCTAGACGGAAGAGTTATGCAGATCGGAAGGTTCACAATGTTGCATTCATGGTTAGAGAGAGAGTCTTGCTCCGGGTTTCATCCATGAAGGTTGTGATGAGGTCAGGAAAGGAGCACAAGTTAAGCCATAGGTATATCAGACCTTTTGAGATCCTTGAGAGGATTGGAGAGGTGGCCTACAGGCTTTCCGTGCCACCTAGCTTGTCTGCGGTTCCTTCGGCGTTCCATGTCTCTATGCTCCGGAAGTATTATGGTGATCCGTCTCATGTTCTAGAATTCAGCAAGGTCCAGCTGGACGAGTATTTGACTTACATTGAGGAGCCTATGGCTATCTTGGACCGACAGGTCCGAAAGTTAAGGTCAAAGGATATTGCTTCAATGAAGGTTCAATGGAGGGGTCATCCGGTTGAGGAGGTGACCTGGGAGATCGAGCAGGATATGCGGAGTCATTATCCTCATCTATTCACCACTTCAGGTATGTCCTTATGCACGTTCAAGGACAAACGTTTGTTTTAAGAGGGTGAGAATGTAACGACCCGATCGGTCGTTTTGTATAATTGCGCCCCATTACTACTTTCATTGCTTTACACTTGCGTGTTTATGCCTTTATGCTTGTTGGGTTGATTA